ATTTTTTAATTTCCTAAGCATAACGCGAACTTTTTATTGCAAGTGTCGGCGTTTTTTACTTCTAAAGTCGAAATTTACAAGACAATGTTTTTGGTTAAATTTCGAAAATTTCAAAATGGGGTGTATTATTGAAAAATTGAGTTTTTGGAAAAATCCAAACAATTCTGAGATATACAGTTTGACACGCCAATTGGAAAAATGTAGCAAGTTTATGATACTGGAACGAGATTTTAGAAATATCCGGTTTGAAATTTAATTTTTTTTAATAATCCTAAAAGTTGCCATATTTCAATTGGTGATTCTGGAAAAATGGTGAAAGTTACATTTGCCAAAATCGGTCTTATTTTAGCAGGTACTAGCCTCGCCCACCCGCCCTCTCTTTTCATAATGGTATCTCATTTGTCAAAATCACTCTTATCTTAGCAGGTACTAGCCCTGCCCACCCACCCTCTCTTTTTTTAGAGGGTATGTCATTTGCTAAAATCGATCTTATTTTAGCAGGTACTAACCCCGCCCACCCACCTTCTATTTTATTAGAGGGCTCACGTTTGCCAAAATCAGTCTTATCTTAGCAGCTACTAAGTTTGATTTTTTCCTACAGAGTTCTATGTATCTTAGCAAATGGCCCACCGGCGCTGTTCTCATTCTAACAATTTTATTTCTGTTGAATATATATATAATACAATTCCAAACAAGCATTAAAAAAGTAAAGGGAAAAATAGGATAACTTATAAATAAAAAGTTCAAAGAAGTACTAGAAAAGAATCAAGGTTATATTTTGCTATCAAAGGTAGCTAAAATACATAATGGAGATTCTAGTAGTCAGGTTAACATAGAACCAAATTTAATTAGCGCTTTTAAGTATGCACCCATTACATCAGCGGATGTAGTGAGGAGTTTTTCTACCTATAAACAAATTTTGTTTTGATAGGCGACGTAATTTTTTAATTGAAAACATTGAAAAACATATAGGTGCAAGTTATATCATTAATGCAGACATTTAAGTGTTTTGTTATGTATCACTACTCGTTTTTTTACAAATATCTGTTATTTAGTTGTTTCTTTTTCTAAAATAAAGTTTTTAAAATATGGCACAGTATTGTTTTAAATTAAACCTATTAGACTTATGGATACACTACCAATTTATTGTATGCTCAATAAAAAAAAAAGTACAAAATCTGTGCATATTTTTATAAAAATTTTGCATATTTTCGTAAAATTAAAACATATTTTCTTATTTTTTATACATATATATACACACATTTTGGCCAAATTTCGTACATAAAATTCCGGTCTCTAGTGATGTAAGACAAAAAGAATCGAAGCAATGAGTCTAAAAAGCCGAACCCTCGAAGTCGAAATAAAAATATCATTCTGAAGAAACGTATTATGTTTATGTGTTACCTATTTTTGGAATTTCCAAACATTAAAAAATCACAGTAAAATGTTTAACATGAAATATTTTTAGCTGACACAATGACATCCATTAACGAAAATTAAAGAGATTAAAGTATTCTTAACTGAGATACCTAAATCTGCATCACAGCAGTGTTGTCTCTACAAAATGTAGTCTGAGAATTTGTCCCTGTGCCCTGTGCTATAGTTATATCAAAAATTCTATTTTTAGTTGTCATATGTGTTGTATAATGAATTTTTATTAAAAATACTGCAACTTTGTAAATCCGGAGCAAACGACAACAATAAAGTATTTATCAAAAAAACGACGAAGAAGAAATTATGGGCGTTGATAAATTTGATGTTCGACTGCCATTTTAGTGAAAACTGACACAGGTTTTTTTATGATACGGACTTGCTTCAAGGCGTAGGAGTAGCACAAGCCTGGAAAGTGCACTAAAGTAAAAGCAGCCATAAACATAAAACTATTTATTATTATTAGGGTACCTCGAGCAAATAAAGCCCATACTACCAGTCCAATCAGGCCCACCTCTGTTATTTTGAAACTGTTGCCTAAAATCAAAAAAGTTATTAAGGATTACTGTAACTGACTGCCGTCTAGTGCATATCGCATGAAACTGATGCCAATTTTGTGTACCGGAATTTTTAATTTTATACTTGTTTCTGTTTGGAACCAACTGCTCGTGGCAATATTAATTTTGACAATTTTGTTTAAGCGTTTACAGTGTTGGTAAATTGTAAGTAAATTATGTTTTTTTATTACATGATCATGAACCTCATAGTGTGTGCTTTAAGCTGGCTAAACGGTATTTAGGTGAAATCAATGTTAGATTTGTAAGCACCATGATTTATTTTGGAGGTTACGTGTTTTTGCGAGATGCCAATTATAAAGCCCGGGTGGGCGTTGTTTAGAACTTATTACTAGAGAGCGGATTTCTAGGTTTAATGCTTTTTGTGAAAAATGTAAGCACTTCAAAACTTTTTTGTATGTGTAACTATGACACAATTTGGAGTCATTTGACACATTTTTTTATGCTTATTTGCTTTTTTTTTTCAATTTTATGCATATTAAAACTTATATGCTTATTTAATGCTTTTTTCGACGAATATGAGTTTTAATGCATATTTTGTTCAAATGCCGGCCTTGTCGGGATGACAAATACTTGTTAGTTAAGCGTATCGTATCGTATGCATTTTACCTGTACTTGACCATTGAAGTGTACACTTACTCAAGACCCTTTCTGTGAATAGGTTCCGGTCGTTTGGGTAATAAAATTTTATTATAGGATTGGAAAAATACTCCATAGATTTTATGACTTTAAATCCTTACTTCCGTTGATAATGAATTAAAGCTTTTAACCAGATGTTCTTTTTCGGCATTTTGCGGCAAGACCGTTGAAGATTTTCTAGAAAAAAGGATTATTGTACCCAACTACCTACCTTAAAATTTTTCTAATGGAAACTTTTAAGTAAATGAACCGTTTATTTCACAACCATCAGTCTATCGCATCTGTCGTAGTACAGTGTTATACGTGGTTCTCACTTGTTACATGTTGAGTTCTTTTTGGTAATATTACTAATATTTTAAAAGAATGCCGAAAGTAAAATCGACGCCGGATGAGTGGATAAGGGATTTTCCAGAATTAAAATTAGAAAACAACAAAATATTCTGCAGAGCTTGTGTGAAAACCGTAAGCCCACTAATTTTTTTTTATCTATTTTCCTTTGTTAATCCTGTATATGTACGTTGTTTTAGATTCAAAGTGATAAAAAATATAACGTGACGCAACATGTCAGAACGACTCTTCATGTAGAAAGGAAAAAAATGTTTGCAGTTTCTAAAATTAAACAGCAGACCATACATGAATCTGTTGCATCTACTTCCACAAAAGATGAGCAGTTTCAGTTTAATTTCGATTTATGTAAAATGATGATCCAGTCCAATATACTTTTATAAAAATTGGAGAAAGGCCCTCTTCAAGAATTCCTTGAAAAACACTGCAATCGACATATTCCGGTTGAAAGTACTATCCGCAAAAATTATGTAGGCCCAGTGTTTCAGCAAGTTTACAACGAAATTAAACATCGCATTGGAGATAATTATTTATGGTTCGCTGTCGATGAAATAACAACCAATAGTTGTGGAAGATACGTGGCAAGTTTAATTGTTGGAACCTAGTCGAGGGTATGTAGTAAGTTTGAAAATGTTAGATAAAACAAATGGCAATACGATTAGCAGATTTGTAAATGACAGTCTTACGTCACTATTTTTGCCAAATGCCGTACCGGCGAATAAAATTTTATTGATGATCTCGGATGCACCTCGTTATATATTGAAAGCAGGGAATAATCTAAAAATATTGTACCCCAATTTAATTCATTCTACTTGCATTACCCACGGTTTAAACAGAGTGGCTGAAGGAATACGTTTGCAGTTTCCTACTGTTAATAAATTAGTGGCAAATGGTAAAAAGATTTTTGTTAAAGCCCCACTAAGAGTGCAACATTTTAAGGAAAAGTTTCCAAACATACCATTGCCCTCAGAGCCGATTATAACGTGGTGGGGAACATGATTACAGGCCACATTTTATTATGACAAATATATCAAAGAATTTGAGGAAGTAGTTACGGAGTTTAGCGAAGATTCTTCTCAATCGATTAAAGATTGCATAAATATTTTGGAAAACAAAGATTTGCGACAAGATCTAAGAAGCAATTATCAATTCGTATGTGAGGTAATAGAAAAGTTAGAAAAACCCAACATGTTGTTGGTAGATGCCATAAACTTAGTGAAAGAATTTAAACAACAAGCAAACGCAGTAAGGGGTGATATTGGTACTAGGTATCTCAAAAACTTGACGAAGTGTTAAATAAAAATGCAGGTTTCGGTGTTCTTTCCGACGTTGCTCGTGTTTTACAAGGCCAGAAGGTGGAAAATTTGGAGTTAGATTCAACATTAGTTGCAAAATTCAAATTTGCGCCAACAACGAGTGTGGATGTTGAACGCACATTCTCCAATTTTAAACACATTTTAAATGATCGGCGAAAAAATTTTACAGTGGACAACTTGGAACATATTACAATCATCAATTTAAAGAAAACTGAAATACGTGTGTAAAATATAAAGTCTAGGATTATTGTAATAATATTTTATCCAAAGTTCTAAGAAGTGTTCTTTGATTTGTAATATGATTAAGTTTTTAATGCTTTTTTGCTTAAAATAAAACTTTTTCAATGAAAGTGTTATGCTTATTTAATGCTTTTTTGCTTAAAATAAAACTTTTTTATTGAAAATGTTGTGCTTATTTAAGCGCTTATTCTTAATTTTTTTGTGCTTATAAATCCGCTCTCTACTTATTACTTATTTCTTTCTAGATTTGCATACAAGTGGCAGCAGCGCGAAATTGCATCTGAAAAATTTGAATTTGAAAAATGAATTAAGAAAATCGTTAAAAACTGGCAACCAGTTGCAACTTTGGTTTTTTTTGCTGGTAGTTTGGTACCTCGTCTGGGGAATTTGTGAGTAGTAAATTAGTGAGGGGCTTGGTAGTAAAGCAGACTACCTGCAACCATGCGGTAAGCATTAAGTTTACCTAGGTTAAGTTTAATTTGGTTTGGTAGTTTCATAAATTAGCCTTTGTTTAAACGAAACTACCGACGGCGACATCACAATTTTTCCCACAAGCGTAATTGATTATTATTATTAATGTGTTCCTAATCGGAAATGTATCGATTTTTGACCATGTTGTTAACACGTGGTGTAAATTGTTGATTGTAAATTCACCGTTCATATCAGGGTTTTTAACTGTTCGCGGTTCTAACACAGTTTAACAGTTACGAAAATTGTCATTTTATTCAGTCTCTCGAAATTATACATTTTATTTTTTCTTTTATGATACCGAAGAAATAAGCAACTTTGTACAAGTGAAATGGGTAACATTTTATAATATTTTAAATTGTGAAATGGATGGTTGTCCTAACTTAAATATTGTTTAAATTTAGTAGATTCTCATTTGGAAATTTTATCCACAATTTAATTTTATATTGTTTTTGAAAATTATGAGTGAAGTAAGTGCCATCGTGAATTCGAAGGCGGAAAGGGGATTTTATGCTCACTTTGTGTTATGATTTATGTGTTCTGTGACTAGAATTTTGGAACGTTTGTACTTCTTATAATTTCGACCATATTTAACAAATGTTTTTTTATCATGTGAAATTTGATTCACGATGTAATCTTAATTCATTAATTTTGCTTTATTAAATTCGGGTGGCGAGAGCGAAGCTCGACCCAAGTCCATAGTGATAATTTTCCTTTCATTCGTATGACTATTTATTCGCAATACCGGATTCCGCCAACGTGAGATACATATTCGTAGGGTAGCCTGCTGGGAGAAGAAATTCTAATGGGAGTAACCAACGCTGTTTATCACGCAAACCATAGGTTATAGTTGTGGAATAAAACTTGAAGCACGGCGACCTGGTAGGCTGTGGTCAGTGTAAAGAGACAATCAAAGACCGGGTCTCGGAATCATTACTCGTCCCACTGCTAATAAAAACAAAATATGCCAACACGCCACCCTTTAGATAACATGTTGCAACCTAGAGAATTGTATACAATAACAAACTGTTAGCTATTTGATCGAAATTTGTAATCTTGTATTTGAAATTTTATAGTTGAGAGAATACATCCTTTTGAAAGACCTTATTAAAATTATTCATGTCATATTTTGTCGTAAATTCAAGGTCACTTTTTCACCTTTGCGGTCCACCACTTTGCATCAGAACGCATTCTGCCATTTCAAAACACAACGTAGGGTGTCATCTTCTTGACGATCAACGTTCATGGCCACCTTTCAAATTTTTTAGGGATTTTCGAACCACAAGGATTATTACTGTCCATTGTTGCCATAATGGAGCTGTAAAGTTTTACTAGGGGTATATATGTGAATTGAGTTAACTTATACAATAACCAGTTTGACTTATAAGGGTGCTTTGGCTTAAGCCGCTTAAGTCATAAAAGTTTTGCAAGGTGTATGTCAAGTGAGTTTTGTATACACCGTTAGCTATTTTTAGTACCGTTGATTTAGTCACTTATTTTATAACCAAGTATCAGAAAATGAACAAAAAAGGAAATGCGGAAATTTAAAAAGAAATCGAAAAAAAATAATACAAAATCAAAACATCTCAAAAAGACCACAGTATGTCAAGGATTTTCTATCACTCTGAAGGAATCAGTGAAATTTTATACACGGAAGAAAATTTAGTGTACACAGTTTCACATCCGAATTATCCCTATATACCTCACAACTTTTTTGTGCCATTACGTTATTTTTACTTTCCAAAAAGATAGGTAGAGCCCAGAGTATGAAAAATAGATCTCCTCTTTCCGTCTGTCTCTCGCCGCCTGTAGTGTTAGCTGTATTAGACAAACATTCTCCGAAACCACCGAACTGATTATTGTGAAATTTTACATATATTTTACGTATGTCATACATCAACTAGGTACTTGTAGTTTATGAATCTGCTTTAATTTTTTACCCTAGACATGCAGATTTTTGGGAAAAATCAAAAATCTGTATAACAACTTTCTAGAATTTAATTTAAAAACTGCAACCCCGAGTGCTTTCAAATCTTGTAAACGTTTTATGGCTATCGTAAGCATGGTAAATGATTAATCAAAATTTATCTGTTTGTCCGCCCAAAAACTTAATGGCGTCAATTTTACTGGTTAAATCCTACCTACAAAGTACAAAATACTGAAAGTCTACACTTGTGGTTTGTTTATCAAGGCATTTTGCATTAATATTTTTTAGAATTGCTGATGCAGGATAACTTACAAAAATTAATGAATGAAGCGATTTACTGATGACATCAAAAACGGTTCACCCCATTTTTCCGAAAATTTTGGGAATACAGTAATACTGTTATTAATATTACACTTACTAAAAAGTTGATGACGTCATCACAAAATTGTGTTATGAAAAACTCACTTGATACTGAAGAATGGCATGCTTCATTATCTGAAGTTTAACAGTCCACGCATAACTTATATATAAAAAATAAAATTCGCAAAATCAAATTTTATACTTTATCTAAAAACCTAGATTTATTTGGTTGTACTTCAGAGGTGAGGGAGGATTTGTGTCAATAATTATAGAAGAAATAACAAATATTACCATACTTTGTGTTTGTTTTCCAAAAATTATGGGTTTATTTCGTAACAATATAATAATATGTCCACAATTTTCTGTGTATCACACATGGACAATTTTTTTAAACAATATATCATTCTTTTTAAAATCTTGGTAACGTTTTTTTTTCACGTCTTTAAAATCCAATATCTCTAGTATATATGGAAATTCTTGAACACCACTGTTTTCAGCTTACAAAGCACTATAAGTTACAAAGGAAACCTTGTCGACTTTTTTGTCGAAAATGAGAGACAGTATAAAAGGAGCTTATGTTGAAGAGGAGTTTTTGGTAAGGCCCAGTCATTACACGTAAACGAATGGCGCTACAAAGGGTTGGTACCCGATTTTATTATCAACCAACTTCTACATGATATAAAAATTTACAACACGAACTAGGAAAGATTAGCGGTTACATAAGTAAAGTATGTTTTTTTAAAGCCCAACATTGTTGCAATTTTTTACAATAGCATAAGCGACAACATCGCTATGATTTTTTAGTAGAAAATGGAAATAATGTTAGATTGAGTTACTCGTTTCGTCACATTTGCAAACCTGGTATCTTTTGTTTTTTTACTTTAAAATCTATGGTTGGTAGACTTTTCATTAACCCTGGTTTTGACACGAAAATCATTTTCCTTGTGAAGCATGTTTAAATTTTGAATTTTTTGGCGCTTGCGTAAAAATATGTTTTGACTTGACAAGAAATGTCAACATTCTGTGATTCTGCCACTATCACTACCCGAAAAACACTAGACGTATAGCAGAAACTTTTTATGTTACCAACACAAAGCAACAATGAACTTAAAAAAAACTCACTTTATGTTTACATGGCTGTTTTTGATTCTGTTATTATTGCGCTGTCGTTAGTTTTTTTAGTTTAAAAAATGTTCACTAGTAGCAGCCCACATCAAATATCATCATAATGGCATGAATAATTTAAAATCATGAAGGTCATTGTTAACAATACACAATAAGTCTTATTGGGAAATAAAAAACTTATCGAGTTATTTTTAATTCACAAATAATTTGTTAAAATTTAAGTGGATATTTTTAAATAATTTAATCAAGATATTTACCCCCCCCCCCACATTATCCATTTAGATTTTTCCCCTTTTCCCCCTTTGTTTTATAGAAATGTTTGTATGTATGTTCCCGCACTTTAACACTAGGTAACTTTCCTGTTGATGTGTTGTGATTTAAAATCCTGACCGGTAAAATGAAGGAATAATAGCCACCAACACACAAAACAAATAGAATCTACGGTCGTGTTTCAGACAATAAATAACAAATAATAGACCTACGTCAGCGCGTCCTAGGTGAATAGTCTACAAGGTCATTGTTTCATCCGTTATGGAACCATGACGCACTAAATTCAAGTTACGTGAGTTACGTTATCAGGAACCAGTGTTGCCAGATGTGGCTATTTATAGCCCATTTGGCTACTTTTTAAAGTAAATGGCGCCTAAAAATTTTTATTTAGCTACTTTATTTATGAGATTTCGATTTATAATTTTTTGATTGCAGTACTTGAATTAAATAAACAAACCAAAAAAATATGTGTAAAGTACATGGAGGTTAAAGTTATATTGCATCTTTTTTATTGTAACAAATCTACATCACTTCTAGTTACTTCTCAATGCCCATATGTTTTCTGAACGTATGGCGTAGATATCGTCGTAACAATAATTTGAAGATAGTTCGATAGATCAAATAGTGACAGATTAGAGCAATAGTAGAAGTGGCAGAACGAGATTGACACTAAACAGATGCTGCACATTGTCAGCTACGCCATACGTTCAAAAAAACATTTGCGCATCGAGTAGCAACTAGAGCTGTTTTATTTTTGATCGCACGTTAATACCGTGCAAACTTGTTGCAAAAAAAAGTTGGCGACTTTTGGCTACTTTTTGAGAGAATGTTGGCGCCAATGATAAATCGAAGTCTGGCAACACTGTCAGGAACTGTTGTTGTCGTCACGTTGCAAGTGTGGTCGCGAATGTCAAACCTCGGCAAATTAGTCGCAAAGCAAGTAAAAATCAAAGTGAAATCAATTTATAAATCGTAAAATAAATCGGGTGGTGAACACCCTCTCCTTCATGGTAGGTCTGTTTTCTTGCCCCATTACGTTACAAATAAACTATGCCCCAAAAACGTCTAACTGGGTTGAATCCCAAAATGAACGGTTATGTTGCCCGTAAAAGAAAAAAGAAATTGACAAGAAAGTCAGGTAGGAAGCATGCAAAATGTGCTCTACATTATTTTAATATATTAAGCTTCTAGTATTAATGCTCCCCGATTAGGTGATTTAACACTGCGACCTTCACTAACAGGGTTGTCAGATAACCTATATTTCCGAGCACTTATTGCATGTTTATTTTAATTATTATTTTATTAACAAGTTTACTATTTGAAAGCAAATTATTTCATAGGTTTTAGTTGCATACTACATATTGTTTTGCAACCCCGTTTGACTCCACGTTATTTTTATTATATTATCATCAGCTGCAAATGTTCCTCGTAAACTATATTAACACAAAATTTGCACACTGAGCAACGCTGTAATCTATTTAATAACCTGGCGCAAAGTAAATCAAAAAGTTAAGTTGGTATTAATAAGATATCAATTGTGCTAGTATCTAGCCACCATTGTTTGAATATTGTTATCTCCATACACTGTGAATCAGACATGTGCTAAATTCGCTTTTGATTTTTAGTTTTAAAAATGCTTGCCGTAATGGAAGCATCACGGAACACTGAGCCTCCCAATCACCAAGATGTTAAGACTCCACCAACACCAGATAAGGAGGACCCGAGACCACAAGACTTCTTGCAATCGGGGCGAACGGGTAGACGAAACGCATTGGCGAATATTCTTGGTGAACACGCCGTAGTAACCAGCTCGGATTTACCCTCGCAATTAGAAGCTTTGACAACAAAAGACAAATCTTCAGATCAGTCTAATAGTAATGGAGCAAGTTCAAGTAAAAGCTGAAGAATTTTTTCTGTGACAAACATAGGAGTAACATTATGGCAGGTTTTTTTTATTATAAGTCATGTTGGCTAAGAAAGGGAAGTACAAATTTTTTGCAAATTAGTTTTACTAAGATGTGGAACCCAATCTCTGTCATGGGGGGGCCTATTAATACTCATTCAATTCATCAAGTATTATATATGTTTGTTGATCTAGTGGATAGAACGTTATGTTTAAAACAGTTTTATATTTGAAGGAAATGGCACTACATTTGCCATTCGTTTTCTGAAAATAGAATTGGTGTTTCCGAATATTATATATGTATGTACGAACAATTGACAATAGATCTGTTTTTGATCTTTCTCTTTTAACTGTCGCATATAATAATTCCTTGCACATAATCACAGTATTAGTATAAAATTGGCCTGATTAATTTATTTAGCAACGATGTTTGTGATATTATTTATTTTTATGTGTCAGTTTAGTATATGGCATAGTTTTATGTGATAGATTCATGGTTTCATTAATTTATTATGTACTGATTGTAAAGACCTAACATGTGTTTTGGGGGATCGAATCTTTGTATACTGCTCAAGTTTCAAAAGCAGTTTATTATGAACATGCACCTAGTCATACAGCAAAAATTAACCACCTCAAATTTGTCAATACTATATTTGTATAGAAACACAATAAATTAATTGGATAAAAACATGTGTTTTTATTGCTTCTCACTCACTGTTCTTGAGCAATTAAAAGTTTGCGTAGATTTAGTTCAGTTGTCTTCATGTTGGGATCAATTTGAAGTGCTTTTTTATACATTTCACGAGCCTTATCAGTTTTGCCCCACCTGTGGTACAAGACTCCTAAAATATGATCACATAATTATACACTCATAATCAAAAGATTAATTTACCCAAGTTTGAGTGATAAAGCGCGTTCTGTGAATTCAAGTTTATTGCTTCCAGAAAATAACTTTCCGCCTTTGCAAACTGCTGGATTTTCCCCAGAGTATTGGCAATACTAAAGTGTAATGCAGGAGATTTGGGGTTATGACTGAGCGCAATTTTTCCTAATTCTAAAACTTGTTCATATTGTCTCATACTATCCATGAGTACCAAAGTATTGCTCCAGGCAGCCACATGTGTTGGACGATATGTAACTGCCATCTCCCAAGCCTTCAAAGCCTCCTCGTTTCGTTTTTGATCCAAATACTGGAAAAAACATTCATGTTTATTTTTTGTACGTGTTTAATTAAAATATAACTACCAAGTTTCCTAAATTGTAGTAACAGTCTGGGTATTTATTTCGATACATGATTGCCGTTTTATAGCAGAATTCTGCCTCCCTTGTTTTGTTTAAATTGGTGAGAACGATGCCCAAATTCATCCATGCGGCTGCAAAATTTGGTCTAAAATAGTGTAATTTGATTTATTTTCAATAGTTAGCAATTACCTAACTGCAAGGGCTCGTCGCAACAGGATTTCGGCTTCTTCAAACTGTTTATCTTCCCTTAACAAATTTGCTAGATTATTCATTGCCTGTTCGTAATTGGGGTTGAGTTCGATGGCTTTCCTATATTCGGCTAACGCTAAACTTCTATTATTTTTGTCTCCGGCAATTTTTGCTATATTATAATGTACTTTAGCATTTAACGGACAAACATCTAAAGCTGAAGAAAACAATTTGTCTTCAAGCAACCAATTAGAGTTCCTCTGAACCGACCGAACGATAAATATTGCACAAACTATGTAAAATAATAAAACTGTGTTCTGTAATATAATTACAAAATATAGAATATAGCTTATTTCCATTCTTTTAAACATACCGACTTATTACTTATACCAGCATTTTCAATTTTTTTTAAACCTATTGCCACCAAAAGACAAAATCCAGCACTCGGTAATAGTAAATTACGTTCAGCTATGACAAAACCAACTCTTAAAAATAAATTTGACGCTGGTAGGAACGGCAGAACGATTAAACTAACAGCCATTATCTTAGCATCTCTAAAAACAAGTACCGTCAAACTTTAAATTCGTGTATTACTGCATTATAATTCTTACAAAACTTCATTTTCAATGACGTTTTTGATGAGGATATAAACGGAGAAAGAAGTGATTATCCAAAATATCAATACAAAAAGCAGTCTTGTGTCATAAACACTTTCTATTAGTGGAATGCAACCCATTGACCAATCAAAACACAACCATTGAGGCCACAACAACAATAAAAAATTTAAAAAATAAATGTAGTTGTAAGAAAGAATCTGCAACGTCTCAAGTAAGACAAATAATTTAAAATTTACAAACACTTCTTACCCTAGTATAAATACTGGCTGCATATGCAGCCGGATTGTCGATGCTTGTAAAAGTAGGCCCTTCAAAATTCATTATCTTAAATCGATAATAAAGTATCAGCAACCCTATTGTAACTAATGCTGTAGTGCGCAGAAAGAAATACAAGTTGCAAATATCAATCCATCGCTTTCTCTTTTTTTTAATTACAAACACATCATAAACTATACAGACACCCTAAAACGTAATTTTTTTTAACTAGTTCCATACGAAGTAATGTACAAACCAAAACAGTCAATGCTGTTTCTTTACACAATACAGCTGCAGCTGCACAAAGCATCACTAAAATGAGTAATAAAAAAGACTTTCTTGTCACCACTTTGTCATATAACAATATCACAGCAAAAAATAATATAGAACACAAAATATCAGCCCGTCCCACAAGTCCAGCTACACATTCAGTGTGTATTGGATGAACAGTAAATAACAAAGTTGCGAAATAGGCAGTATCATTTACGTTGATTTCTCTTTTTCTTTTTCGCAAAAATAATTCAAATACTGGAATAGTAAGTATACATAACAAACCATATAAAATCACATTAGTTGCATGAAACTGGAATGCATCAAGTTTGTTATTGGAATATAATATGTTAAGCCTAAAATTAAGAAATGCTTATTTCACAAAAATGCATATTTTATTAAATACGCACCTATAAGATAAGATAGTGAGGGGTCGATATGATTTGTGGCTACTATTTAATGAAATGTTAGTACCCCAAAAGTCATTTTGAAAAATGTTTTGTAATGCAACGTAAGGCATGACATCCTTATTTTTCACTATAGCTTCACTATCATCAAACACAAAAGTTCCCCAAAGGGTATTACAATAACAAAGAAATGCCGCCACTGAAATTGTTATGTATCTTTTAGATTTCTCCTAAAAAGATATTTTGTCATTAAAGATGCTGCCTGACCATATTAAGAAAAAGTATATCTATGATAAAAATTAATTCTTACTTACCATTACTCTTATGTTTGCATTTGTAGTTTTTCGGTATTGAATAATCTAACCTCAACTAACAAACCTACAAATCAATAGCAAACTCGAAAAACATGCGCCTAGATGTTAGGCAACTAACTACATACTTTCGTTTAAATTACTAAAATGTAGTCCATCTATCTTATCCTGGCAGTCCTAGCACACAACATATTTTTAAAAAATTGGGTCTAAAGAGTTTAGACAGTACTTCCCTCGCTGTCGGAATCGTGACGACTGCATGCCTATTACGTCTTTTTTCATATTACATTTTTGTAGCGGGACATTTTAAAATAAATTGAGTATTAATGTTTTCAATTTTGTCATTATTTGGCATTGACATCTTTGTCATTTTTTCGTGATTGCTATGATTGCTTATTAAAAAAAAAATTAAATTGGACGAAGTCGTCTTTGGGTGTATAATTGTTGCCTATGCAAAAATTGTTAGGCGTGAACAGATAAAATGAACAACTTCGTCAACCTGTTGACGTGACGGTATATGCAAATCAAAAAAATATGAATGGAATGATAAATCACAACTACAGACTCATCATATTTTGCATATTTAAGGTAGGATTTATTCGGCAAACTTTTGAGCTGACGTCATCAAGTTTTTGGAGGGGATAAGTAAATATATTTTGGTTAAAAATGTATCATGCTTATCATAACAGTAAAACTGGCAAAATGTTGTTTCATAATTTTGATTTTTTTCCAAAAATCTGGACGTTTCGGGTAAAAACTCAATTCGGAGTCGTAAACTACATGTGTAGGACTATGTTATTTTACACAATTTAAAACCCATTTACTATGTACAATTTTGAAATGACGTCATCGCATTAGTGGTGGGGATGATTAGACAAATTTTGGTTAGCGTTTTACCTTCTACATGATATTCCTAATGTACGTACAAAATTTCACAACAATTGGTTTAGTACTTTCGACTTTCGGAGATTATCTGTCTAATAAAAATCTGGGACGGCAGACAGACGGACAGACAGACGAAAACGGGAGATCTATTTCTTCGTCCTCTAGGGGTCATGAAAGATCGAGAAAACGTAAAAGTAAAAGTAGAGTCGGCCGACGGACTCGATTACAATACTTCGTTTGCTTACGCTCGGGAAGTAAAAACGGTTAATTTTGATTAAAGGATTTAGAGATAAATTTTTGAAAAACATTACAGACAAACCAGTTACTATACTGAGTTACAAAAATAAAAGAACACCAAGAAGGAATCGTGATTTTGTTATAAAATTTTATACATAGGGTAAGGGTTGTGCGCAGTACCGGCCTGCACAAGAGCGATACTACCCCACCACCCACCCTTCGACGGCACCGGGGTGGTACCGGACCTGGACCAAGACAGAACGCATCTCGCCGTACACGAGTTAACTTGTAGATACACTTACATACCAATAATATATAGTTATCAAACAACACTCTTTTTTCTTTCCGTGTTCGTACCGTGTACGACACGGTTAAACGGTCCTTCGATTAGCCTGCGGCGCAACGCCACATTTGGTCTTTCGAGCCGGATGAATCTACGATCAAACAAATCATCGAATCAAGAAACATCAAATCCACAATCTAAGTAAGTCCTATTACCCTGTAGGCATATTTATTTCAATCTGCGCCAATCTGCGTGTACCGCATAATTCGAATCAAAAAATCCCATTTATTTCACTAAAATGACTGTAGAAACGGTAGCCGAATTACGCTCCAGTCGAGGAATCGCCAAATCCAAAACAACTCGCATTGAGAACTTCGTTAAAAATTTCAAAAGTACACGTAGCATTTATCACCTTGAAGTACGGTTAGACACATTAGAAAACGTAATGGAAGAATACGAAAGTTTTCAAACTCAAATTGAACTGCAGGATAACGCAGATAACGATCGCAAAATTATCGAAACACAGTATTACAACATAATAGTTGACATTCGGGCAAAATTAAATAAATACTCACCTTCTGCCAAAACATCGGCGCCTAGTCAAAATAATAGTAATCCTAACAATAATCATCACTTAGAAACGTTAAATTTACCAACATTTTCAGGTTCATATTCGGAGTGGCTGTCATTCAACGACACATTTTGCTCGTTGATTGATCAGAACAATAGTTTATAATAATAAGAATAATATGTTTATTGTGCAAATAAATGTGATACATTTTAGCACGCGTCTATTACAACACTGCTCTTAAAAGTAAAGAACTAATATTAATAAGTATAATAATTAAATCAACAACTAAAACAAAATAAACTAAATGTATATATATGTATATAAACATTAAAACTAATGGTTATTCTACAATGGAAGTAATGGAACTAAATTATGAACTAGTATTCCTCAGTAAAATCATGATCCAGAAATTCTTCAGTTGAATAAAATGCCTTCGTTTTAAGATATGATTTGATTTTATTTAAAAGCATTATCTTATCATCAAACTATGAACACCAAATTAATTCAATATGAACATCTTCTTACGTATTTTTTTTATTAACAGTAGTCAAATTAAATACATATTATTTTTGAAACTAAAATGCATTTTATCCTAAGATTGTATCAGAAAATATTCATCACCATTTATGTATATACGATTTAGACATCAAGAAATAAATTTAAAATTGCAAAAATTATATCTAGCAGACTTAAAACAGCCTTAAATGTGTCTTGTATGTACATACGTGCTTATCAGTATGTAGGCATTTTAACGCACAGCAATAATCGTTCTTTATGAGTAATGACTGATGACTACTGTAACACAGTAAATCCTCGAAATCGAAAATTTAAAACACTGAAAAATTAAAATATGGGAAAATTGTAAAATCAAGAAATTGAACAATCGGTTAATTCAAAAATCGAAAAATCGAAAAATAAAAAAAAATTGGACAATCGAAAATTTAAAAATTCCGAAAATTGAAAAATTGAAATATAGAAGAACTGAAAACTCAAAAAATCGAAAAAAATTAATAATTTCAAAAATTGAAAAGTTAAAATTGAGAAATCGAAAAACTGAAAAATCACAAAATTGAACGAAATATCAAAAAATTAGGAAATTAAAAAATTGAGAAACAGAAAAGTCAAAAAAGCAGAGTCTAAAAATCGCAAACTTAAAAAATCGAAAAATTGAAAAATCAAAAACCTGAATAATCGAAAAATTGAAGAAGTGAAGAACTGAAAAAAAATCGAAAAACCAACAAATCGAAAAATCGAAACATTGTAAAATTCAAAAATTGAGACATCGAGAAATCGAAAAATCAAAAGACAAAAAAATCGAGGAGTCGAAAAATGAAAAAATTGAGAAACCGAAATAGGCCAAAATCGAAAAATCGAAAACTTAAATATGGAAAAATTGATAAAGCGAGAGATTGAATAATCAAAACATCGAAACATCCGAATCTCAATAAATTGAGATCTCAAAAAATTTAAAAATCCGGAAATTTAAAAAATTAAAATATAGAACTGGAAACTCGAGAAACGGAAAAATCTAGAAATTTAAAAATTAAAATATGGAAAAGTTGAAAAATAATAAAAAACAAAAAACTGAAAATCCAAAAATAAAAAATAGAAAAATCTAGAAGTCGAAAAATGAAAGAATCGAAGTATTGAAAAATATCAAAACTGAAAGAAATATCCAAAAATTGAGAAATCTACAAACCAATAAAGCGAAGTCGAAAAATCGAAGAATTGAAGAACTGAAAAATCGAAAGTTTGAGAAGTGGGAAAATCAAAAATAGATTAATTGAGAAATCAGAAAACTGAAAATTTAACGCAAAAATTTGAAAAATTGAAAAATTTAAATACTGAAGAACTGAAAAGTCAAAAAATCGAGAAATCGAAAAAACTAAAATTTAAAACAATGAATAATTAAAATATCGCAAAAAATTGAAGAATCGAGAAATCCAATTCAATTTGAAAAGCTCAAAAGAAAAAATCGAAAAACCGAGAAATCCAAAAATGAAACATCGAAAAATTCAAAAACTGAGACTTCGAGAAATCGAAAAATCGGAGGATCGAGAAATTGAGGAGTCGGAAGCCGAAAAGGAAAGTTAAAAATTAAAAAATTGAGAAATTGAACAATCAAAACAACGAAACATCTGAATTCGATAAATTGAGAAATTAAAAAATTGAATAATCGAAAATTTTTAAAAAAGAAAAACTGGAATATCAAAAATAAAAATTCAAAAAATCGAAAAATTGAAAAATTGAAATATAGAAGAACTGAAAACACGAGATATCGAAAAACCTAGAATTTTAAAAAATGAAATATTAAAACATCGAAAAGTTTGAAAATTGAGAAATCGAAGCATTAAACAGTCGCACAATTGAAAAATCTAAAATTTACAATAAATTGAAAATCCAAAAAGTAAAAAAGCGAGAAATAAAAAAAAATACATCAATTCAAAAATCGAAAAGTCGAAAAATTGAAATATTGAAAAATCTCATCACTGAAAGAAATATTCAAAAAATTGGAAAATTGAGAAATCGAAAATATAAAAAAGCAAAATTGAAAAATCGTAATCTTAAAAAATCGAAAAATTGAAGAATTGAAGATGTGAAAAATCGAAACTTTAGGAAGTCCAGAAATGGACAAATAAAAAAAAATACTTTATAAATCGGAAAACTGAAAATTTAGAAACGTGAAAATTTGAAAAATTGAAAAATCGAAATATTTAAAAACCGTAAAATTGAAGAGGACAAAAATTGAGAAATCGTATCATTGAAACATCGAAAGATTGAGAAATCGAAAAATAAAAAAATCGAGAAATAGAAAATTTAAAGAATGGAGGAATCGGGAAAGCCCAGAATTGAAATATTGAAAAATTGAGACATTTAAAATTGAAAAATCGAGAAATCGACAAGCCGAAAAATCCCAATAGCGTATTTAGGTATAAATCACAAGATCAGGACTATTCTACTTTTTAAAATTTAAATAACATTGTAAATTGGAAAATGTTGATTTTTTTTTTTTTCACAAATCTTGACGTCTAAGGTGAAAACTCGACACGGATGCATAAACCGTAAACGGGGCGAAACTACAATTTTACTATTGTAAAATTTG